ACTGCCATCTGTCCAAGCTTCGAATAATGGGGGCCTGCGAGAAATGTCAGCGTCACACAAAAAGATCTTCCTGACAAGACGACTTACGTATAAAGCTCCCAAGATTCTGTCCGAGTTCCTCTCGTATCCGATCAAAGACGCGGCCTCGCCGATGGCACCTCCCCACCATGGGTACTGAAGAAGACCTCCGTTCCAAGCTGTTCCACCGTTGGGGTGAACGGCAGCAGCCTCACCAATCAAGTGCGGGATGGTGATGTTATCAAAGAGATCAAACTGGTCGACCATGTCATCAGGCGTTCCATAGATGTGGTAATCGCCATCAGCCGGCGCGGGGATATCGTAGCCGTCGAGGACGGAGCCGGAAGAGATGACCTGGATGTCAGGGTAGGCGTCGTTGATGGCCTGGAGGAACATGGGGAAGCGGTACTCCTTGTAGGTCTCCCATCCCTCGGGGGCGCCGGCGAGCCAGTCCTCATTTCCGACCTCGACGTACTTGAGCGTAAAGGGCTCCGGGTGGCCGTACTCGGCGCGAAGCGAACCCCAGGTGGTCTCTTCTGAACCAGTGATGAACTCGATCTGGTTGAGGGCGTCGTCGATAAAAGGCTGCAGCTCGTCTTGTGGCGTGACGTCGCCGTTCAGAGCCAACCCGGCCCAGACTGCAACAACTGTTTCGCGACGTGTTAGCCGATTGCCACTCAAGCACCGCCTCCGAGTGACTCACCAAGTTCAAGGCCCATATCTTCGGAAAGCTCCAAGTACTCCAGAAGACCGAGGCCGTTTGTTTGCTGGTAGCCCCAGACACCAGCGTAGCCTGGGCGATTCTTGAGAGGGCCAATCGAGTTCTTCCAGTCCCAGTACGAGCTGTTCACAAGACCTTCGAGCATGTTACCGCCAGGAACGCGGAAGAAAGTCTACAAGGGAAGTTAGTAAAAGTGTTCCAAGTCGTATGCTCTGAGAACACTAACCGGGTGGAAAGCTTCAAGCACTTCGGCGAGATCAACTCTGACTCCATTGGCGCGGTTCTTATACGTCGGAGGGAAAAGGCTGATGAGATTAAAGTCCAATGATCCGTCCTCAGCGCCCTAAAAGGTGTCAGTCATTGGTGGCACATGGTAGCAACATCCTGGCAACATGACTTACAGCAGAGTCAAAGGTGATGGCAAACGAGTTGTTCGAGCTAGGCGCATCAACAGTCGGGATGAGTTCAAAGGTGTGTTCAACCCAGGCATCGGGTGTGCTCTGGGAAGTAACCGCAACGCTGCCAAACACCTCGCCGGTAATGTTGGAAACGAGAGAAGCATTGAAGTCGCCCGTGTACGACCCCTTGACCCAGAAGGATCCGGTGTAGGTCTTTTGCTTGACATCCATTCCCCAGTAGCCGTCATTGTAGAGACCAACGGCGCCCTCGGCTTCGCCAGCGGCAACATTGACCGAGGTCTTCAGGGCATCCGAGAGGGGCGTGCTCAGATTCTGCAGGCTGAGGACGGCACCATTGACCGAGTACCAGCCTTCGAGCGTGGACGGGTACGAGTAGCTGGACTGGAAGGCTCGGTTTCGAATCAATTCGGCGTATAGACCACCGTCTCCCGAGTTGCTGATGTCCTACGCCATACAAGTTAGGGACTTCGTACGTAAACACCAAATTGATCCTTCAATGCGTCTTACCTCGTGGAGGAAACCATATTGGTGGCCACTTGTAGCGTTGCCGCCATCGGAACTGACGCTGATGTTCAAAGCATTGCCGAGTGGCAGTGCCACGGCCAGGATACCAATAGCTTGAGACCACATCGCAGAAAGGCGTGAACACGGTACAGCTTGGGGCAGTCTAGAGATCCTGGCCACAAGAAGACGCGAATCGCGCGCTCATTATATAGCTGTGCCCAGGCTCTCAACTGCAGTGCCGAGACGGCCGCGGGCGAAATTTCCCATGCGGAAGACGTGAAGCTCCGCACAGGGACTTTCAAAGTGCCAGGGGAACAATTGGAGTCTTGCCATTGGAGAACCCATCATGTTTGGAGAAAATATCACCATACAGATCGACGTCCTTGGGTGGAGGGCAAATATGCAGCTCGCGAACCGAAGCACCACGTTGCGGCTCCAGCAAATGTGTATGCGCACCTATCACATGGCTCCGCATCGAGGAAAACATGGTTCGTCTTGTCATTCGAGGATAAGGCTAACTCGTCCGTCCAAGCGGTAAGGTCGATATACATCGTTCCCCAGTCTCGCAAGTGCAACCCTAGCCGGCACTTTTTGGTCGGGCTATACGCGACTCCGGCCCGTGATAGGTGGAATACTCCTGGTGCATCTCGCGATCCTAGTCGTTCGTATTTTGCGGGGTATATGGGCCCATGGGGGAAGTTTGCGGGGGAAATTTGGAGAAGCGGTAGCGCTTGTCGGTTCGTGAACGTCAACAAACTTTCACAGTTGCATCGGATGAGAGATTCGTAATGTTACCCTTTCCAAGCCCTTGGTTCTCCCGGTCAGGTTCGCAATTGGTGAGGGTAGAAATGCGCATACTGAGAAGTTCACGTGCTTTGTATCTTTGACTCATGTCTCTCGCTCTATCGCGACCATAGGCGTAAGTTTCGAAGGCCGTTCAACTAGAGTCATGATACATTTCAATACTCATTGGTGGCAAAGCTGTGAAGTACATGCGGTGTGTCCTTCCTGATGGTCGCGGATGCTGGATAAGTCCCTAGGTTAGATAAGAAAGTAGTAGAAGTACAATGCGCTGGCTCTCGATTATTGATTGGTATCACCGTGTGCTAACGATAAAAAGAAAGAGAGAGTCACGGCAGCGTCTCGGTCTCCAGACATTCAGTTTGTTCTGAATCAATCCAACTCAACAGCACCGGCCATGGTTCTAGGTCGTTACATATTGGATTGACCCGTAGCTTCGCAGCTGGCAGGAGCTATGACGCTACTGTGTCTTGTCTCGGACCAGGATCGTACTGTACCGCGAAGAGGACCTTGGAAATTCTTGCCATGATACAGTACATTGGACTAAGAAGAACCAGAGTAAGTATTTGTGTCTTTCCAGTGCAAGATTGGGTGACAGACTGCAGTACGTAGCTGGCAATTCCGTTGTCCTTGCAACTGAACCAAGACGTTGGCGACTGTGTGACCAATTTGGACTGCAAATGTGGACCACTGACGCCAGCCACCGCTAGCTTTTGCTCCACCAACTACTATCTACCTCCGCTTCAAGTACCGATCAAGACAACAGCTAATGCAGGTACGCAACGCCCATTCTTGATCACAACTCATCAGTCCCTCCTCCATTTGACTTGCATCATCCACGATGCCCCTCGGTTGGTACCTCGCCCAGGGCCTGGTCCCATTGGGCCCAAGCAGCAGCGATGATGAGGAGGGTCCCTGTGAGCTGCCAAACGGCCGTCTCGTCTGCGGTCCCCACGGCTTCGTTACTTGTCACAAGTGTTGCAGCGACTACAGTTTCATGGAAGAGGTTCTTGATGAAGAAGAAGACGACGATGACGAAGACGATGGTGAAGACCACCAAGAAGCAGATGGAGTTATATCCCTCGGGAGAGGTGATGCGGCCATACGACTACCTTTTGCGACGAGTGGCCTTGCTTTCCAGGTCCCCGCCACGGCCATGAATACCCAACATGTTGAGCCCATGGATGCTCAGGCCGAAGCCATGTACTGGGATCTTCCTCCAGAGATCAGAGATGATATCGATCGTCGACATGGTCCTCCTCCACCTCGCCAGATCTCTGACGCTCAGGCGCACGCAATCCTGAACCAGCTCCGTGGACTGCCGCCTGATCGTTTCCCAGAGAAGAATAGAGGCACCGGTCGCGCCTTCCCCACAAAGTTTTTCCCGCCGAATAGCACGATTCATCCGATGCAAGTTTTCCCAATCGAGGCAACGGGGTGAGTCTGAATTTCCTACATCGATAGATAACCGACAGCCTCGTCAAGATCTATATGTTGACAACGCGAGCAATTTCATACATCATAATGATCCAGGCAAGCGCCTCCTTTTCACCGATGGAGCATGCTTGAATAATGGCCAGCCGAATCCAAAAGCCGGCTGGGCTGTATATTCTAGGTTTGAGGGCCTATTGAGTGGCCGCCTGGAAAACGAAGGCCCTTTCGGCGGCCGCAGTGCGCAGACGAGCAATCGTGCAGAGCTCCGCGCGGTCATTGCTGCACTGCGCTGCGAGGACTGGTTTCGCAAAGGCTACCACGCGATTGTTCTCGCTACAGACTCGGGATATGTCGTAGAAGGTGCTACAAAGCATGCCAAGAAGTGGATCAGGTATGGCTGGACGACGAGAGAAGGAACGGATGTCAAGAACAAGGACCTGTGGGAGATGCTTCTGGGCGATGTTGAGAGGTTGGACCGCCAGGGAACCAAGGTTCACTTCTGGAGAATCCCGCGGGAGTGGAATGAGGACGCTGATGCTGCTGCCAAGTCGGCTGCTTCTCTTGAAGCCCCAGCAAAGTGGAAGGATCGCTCGTTATAATCTTGTTAACGCAGTAAGGTTCATTCTACAATCTGGAGTATGTAGTGCCTAAGGTCTCTCAAAACTCATTGAACGTGCCCGAGGTTGCTTGCATTGGAGAATGCTGATGAGCATGGAAATGGGAAGGGGCCAAAGTACATTACTATAACCCAAGAACAATAGTTGCCCCAGAAGCATCAACGAACTTTTACTATCATTATCTCGGCTTCAATGAAGAATGGCTTGCTAGACGTCAGGGTCCGATTAGATGAGTAAGGCCCTTCAGCCGTCCCAGTAGCAGCGTAGTCGCCGACCAATGTACAAAACTTTGAGATCATATTTCAATTCAAGACATACTCTCGAGTGGATCTCAAATGCGCGTCTATGAAAATGACTCAAACTTGACAGCGGATCCTAGTTACCATAGAGAAAATATTCATTACACAGGCGGGTATCGATCGCCCGGTCCCCATCATGTCGGCGATTCAATGACTGTTAAGTCATCCCTATTTCAACAAGCAACAAGCTCGGCTAGCTCAGTTGGTTAGAGCGTCGTACTAATATTTCCATTCGGAAATATCAAGTCAATGCGAAGGTCCTCAGTTCAATCCTGTGGCTGAGCAAGTTGAATTTTTGCCCGTTTCTACTAGGTATTGTTTTGCAAAATCGTGAGGAGGAACGCATCCCGGTATGAAGTGTCTGTATTCTCCATGTGTGGACGTATTCAGGGGAAAAAATGACAAGTATGATTAAGCATGATATTTCACGCTGACCGCATTTACACTCAGCTAACTTGTTGTCTATTTGATACATGATACACGCGCCCATTGGTATACAATGCTCTGCGTGGTAAGATCACTTTGTAGTGCAATGACAGGGCGGGCTGCATAAAAAGACTGTGCTCAAGTCCCGGCGGGCAAACCTTTTGCTTAAAATTCTGCAACTAGTTCCCCACATTCCGCCTCGCCCGACCCGACGGGTTGGTTGGCGGGTCTAGAAAAGTTTGAATTCGAATAACCGCACTACGCAAAAATTGCAAAAAAGAAAGAACAATGATATCTCAGTCAACTGAGATGCATTGGGAATTGAGCCCAATGCGGGGGTCGAACCCGCAGCCTTGAGATTAAGAGTCTCACGCTCTACCGATTGAGCTAACCGGGCAAGTTCTTTGTTGATGAACGACGAGGTCTTATCAAGTCTTGTGATAGAAGATGACTGGGTTAAGCCCTGGCGTAGTTGATTTACGGGGTGGCCGGGGTCGAGATCCATCTCCTTCTCAATTTGGGGGCCTTCTTTATAGTTAGTACTCATCACATTAGCACGTACCAGCATCTACAATAGTCACGGCCCCCAACAGTTACTTGGCGAATGTATACCGTGTACCTAAACTTGCCCGAGTGAAACAATCATTGGCTACGCTGATCAGTGGCCATACTCTTACTCCATTGATATGTGCCTTGACGGGCAAGCTTCACGGACGTCACCCTGCTTAGGTCCCTTGTCAGTTTCGGCGATTGGCTGGGAACATCAAGGTCAAAATGGTAAAGGGACGGCGCCGGGTGCCCAAAAGACGGGACGATCTCGAGGAGGCAAGCGACACGGACGAGCATGGCGAGAACGCTCCGAGTGCGAAGAGAATCAAAGTGGAAGACGCACCTCCTTCACAAGATCCATCGCCATCCGAAAAGGGCAAAAATGTGGCGTCTGGTTCTAGAAAAACGCCGGCTCGGCCATCCAGTCGCGTTCTCACACCTGCGGAGGCTGCTCGGGCCAGATGGGCCAACCCGGGCGCTGCGGCAGCCGGGACTTCCACGGCGGGACCATCAGCGCATGCCGCGCAAGCAGCTCCCGTGGCCGGTTCAAGCACTTCTGCTGCTCCGCAGCGACAAGCTATTCACCGGCGGCCCCAACCACCCAGACCACCAAATACCAGCACGGGAACCCGGGGATTTGCGGGGGATCTGAATGACTGGGCAGGATTGTCAGGCGTAGCCGGTTTTTTCCACCAGCCTCCCATTGACAGAAGCCAAACTCCTTTACCTTGGCCCAAGCGGATCTTGAGGGCTCTCGACAAGCAGGTCGGGAAGCACCAGGAGTCGAGCAATCACGTTTACATCGCGGCGTGTTCGTCCACCGACGGTTACAAGGGAGGTGACGGACCGGAATTTGAGCTCCTGGGCACGTTTCGTTCCTTCGAGAGTGCGAATGTCAAGGTCATGGAACATGTGTGGGAGCATTACGAAGAATCTCTCGAGACGGAGGAGCTCATCAACGCCCCGATTCTCCGTGACGTAAGCTATGATATGGTTGCGCTCGTGTGGTGGGTTAACCCCGACGATGGATCTCTGGTTTTGCATGGACTTAATGATAAATGGGGATCATACAAGGCTTGGGTTGAGAGGAGAGAGATAGAGGCATAACGTTGTTATATCTCTGTAGTACTCTTGGTCTGTAGACAGAGAACAAGGCAGGTTGTAACAAAGTCCCCCGAACACAGGTCTCATTTTCTATGTTTCAGAGCCCAAGCCTTGTGTTTGCTCGAAATAATCATACCAAACTTACTTTGGACACATGATTGATTGTAAAAGCTCTACACTTGGAGTCGGCTTTCATAAATTTTTGATCACCCGCAATTGTGTGTGGGAGTCACCATGTGGCGCAAAAAACTTGAATGTGTGTCCAATACTTAGTACACTATCCGATGTAAATGAAATCTTTACCACTTTCTCATGTTAGAGTGACCACTCGGGAGATGTTCAGCCGGGACGGTTTACAAGCATCGCAAATGAACTGCCGAAACGATCTGCTTTGGCCTTCTCGAGGACGGCATTCAGAAGAGGGAACACTCTTAGCTAGTATAGGCTGATGTTGGTCATGACGTAGAATCTCTAGCATCTAGTCCTCTTATCGTGAGTAGTACAATTGAGATCCGCAAGCGTGCATCTTTGGGCTTGACTTGTTCAGCTCCACACTGTCAGCTACACTAGGGCAAATGCCGATGACTATCCAGGGGCCGTGGGAGTTGAGCCTGTACTCTAGGGCATCACCCGCGTTCTCATTCATTTGTGCCGCGCATTTCGTTTGTATCAAAGAAGATGGGTTTTAAGCAGAATTGAATGTCGACAAAGTCGGGCTGAATCGCGTTTTTGATCCAATTGTGCAGGTTGTACGAAGTAATGACACCTGCCAATCATGTCGATTAGACTTGTAGCTCTTCAGCCCCATTTGGAGCTGACAGCATTAGCGACGCGCGTACGCTGGGAATGCGGCATCGTGCCATTTTTGTTCTCTTTCTAGAATCTAAAGTGGCATCACTGCCGACGCACAACAGGCAAGTTTGGCAAGCATCTCAAGCCTAGATATTATGCTTATTTGGCTGCTAACCGACGAGAATCTTTTGAAACAGCTGGTAATTTACCACGAGCTGTCGATTACCCACGGGGTCCCTAGCAGCTGCCAGGTATCGAAAACCGCCATGGTTATAAAAAAAATGCCATGCTGCCAACCGACGTTGTGGTACCTCGTCTCGGCTGAGAGTAGCTTATGGGAAAGAAGGCTCGTGGTTCGGCAAGGTAGGTGAGCGTGCCCCTGTGAGAATCATTGACCAGTGTCCCTCCCCCCGGCACGCTCGGTAGGTGTGGCCCATTGAGCCCCGTCGTGGAGTCTAATCTCCGTTTTTGTAAAGCCACGCACGTAGACCAGCTGGCCAGACTCTCTTTCCTCTCTGATCGGCGGTTGGCGAACGCGGCGCAGCAAACTTCAGACTTCTGGACTCGTCTCTGATGGTGGACGAGATGGGCGAGACGGGACCAAGGTGGGCTTTTTCCGACTCGGTACTGTTGGTAGATATTAGAGTGAACCGTGCCGCGATTGATGAGGTCCAATATCCATTGTAGTATATTTAGCATAGGCAATCTGTCGCGTCATGGGCTTTCGCTCCCAAGCGACGACGCGAACAATCTTCTGGGCGCGGCATGGCCAGGGGGTGGTGGTAATCATTGGCAATGAGCCGGTAGGAGGAATCAAGTGCAGGTAGTATGCAGTTGGCAGTAGTACTGTTGTATTGCAGGAACTAATCTTAAAAAAAACCCGCCCCGCAGGCACTGGGCGGCCGTCGATTTGCCAGCAAATAATGGGGACAAGGTGCCTAAAGGTAGCGGCCGTGGGCTTCGTTATCGCCGCCGTCAAAACACCATCAACCACTGAGAGCTTCGAGGGGTCTTGTCTTGGGGGGTTTCTCCTTGCTTGCACTCAAGCCTGAATGAGGTCACCCCCCTGCTAGCGAGCTTGAGTAGCGCCGATTGTTGCACCCCAAACTGACTGGCGATCCCCTTCTCCTTTTTCGCTGCAGAAGTATCTTTCTTTCCATTGAAGGTTTTCCTGTCTGTCGGAGCAGCGACATACTTTTCTCGTAAACACCACAAACATTCGAGAGGCTTTGAGCATTTTTGCAGCCCCTCTGACACTCGTTTCTGTATTTTTTGAGTTTCTGCACGCTCGGTGGATTGTTTTGTCAGTGGTTGCCTGCAGCACTTCGAAACCTCCCCATTGGTGCCGACCACCCGCCTCCCCCGTTCTCCAGAACCTTGAATCCTGCCTGGGGACTTGGCACATGAACGAATCCCATTGAAAGCAAGAACCAGAGACAAACCACTTACCCCCGCCGTCGACGGCTCCGTTCACCTCAATTAATCATACTCCCGCCACTGTCCACACACAACCATGGGAATCGACTCCATGGAGAAGGGCACACGGGTACGGAACTTCGTCTTTGCACGACTCTCGCGGTCGCGGGCCATAATCCTAGGCCTGGTCGCCCTTTTCCTCACATTCTACGTGCTTTCGCCATACGACAGCTCACTTCGCTCTACGATACGATGGCAATCAACCGTGGCTAGCGACTACGCCCAACACTTGCACCCCGACGACAAATGGCTTTTCAGGGACCAAAAGTATCCCATCGACCCCTCCCAAGATATCGGCGTCATTGTGAAGACTGGCTTCGGAACTAGGAATCGAGTGCCAAACGTGCTGGCAGCCTTGGGCAACGAGACGTTGGATAATGATGTTCTGATCATTCAGGACTACCCAGTAAACGCAAGAAAGCCATGGATCACTGGCAACGCAAAGACCGTGGAGACGGTCGACATTATCAGCTGGATGATCCGCAACGGCAAACTCGCCGACCATGGAAAGAACGAGAGGCTCATGAAGTATGAGCATCTTGTAGACGCCATCGAGGATGAGGACTACTTCATGGCAGACACTCTGGCCAAGGGATACGGATGGGAATTGGATGCTATGAAGGTATGGAAAACCCGGCTGTTCTATCATTATTCCCGTGTTGTTTCTAACAGATCATGTTTCAGTTCATCTCGGGCCTGCAGTACGCCTGGGATAAGATGCCCAAGAAGAAGTGGTATGTCATGTCCGACGACGACACATATGTCATCAAGTCATCTCTCGGTCTCGCCCTCGGCCACCTCGACTACAGAGTCCCTCATTACCTCGGAAACCCGGTTGGTGATTTTCTGGGACGTTTTGCCCATGGAGGTTCATCTGCCGTCATTTCGGGTGCGACCATGGCCAAACTGTTTGACAGGAATCCCGTTGCTGTCAACGA